AGTGAAGCTCTGGGAGGAAGATGGCGGTACGGTTTTGGATTCGTTCTATTTGTCTTGCTCTCCTTCATGCACTGTTCACGACGGGCTACGGTCCGCCAACTGCGGTTGAGGATAAAGCTCCGATGATCGGCGTTTCTAGCTGGAAAGTTGGTTACAGAAAAAGAAAATGACCACAGCACAGGAGAGGCGAGTAGTTTTCGATGTATGTCACCTCGGGCGGCAAAAATGAACCTCATTTGGAAGGTTTCGTTCAGTATAGGAAAAACTGAGGCGTAATGACGAGATAGCGCCTCCTGGAAGATAGTGGAGTGAGGAGTAGAGGGATCTCGGGTAGGTTGCAGTTTCGTCGCGCGCGGCACGCTGCAAAAGTATTGTGTTCACCAGAACGACACTTCTGTCATCAGAAATCCGAAAGTGGACAAGCTCTTTGAAGATTCACTTTTTAGTCCTGAGAATGGCAAGTCGTTCAACTAGGGCGAAGGCTCAGCGATAGCGAGCCACCTAAGTTACCGCTACGACTCTGCACAGCGTCACATTCCCATGATAATATATACGGTTGATGAGAGAGTTGGATCTGTCCCGCTCAGAGGAAGGAGAGGAGGTGGAGCGGGAGGGAATCTCTCTAAATTCTATCGATGCGAAGACCTTTAATTCCAAGTGGAGCTAAGAAATGGCACTCAGCAAAGCTTGCCTAGCTTAATGCTGTTTCATAGATGTCTGGAAGATAGAGATAGAAAGAAACGTGTCGAAAATGGGCACTAGGGTTAGCTTCAGGGAATATCATACGCTGAAATTTTGGTCCCGTGCAACCCCCTCCCTCAAAATGAGCATGTATTAATGTCTGTCCACGCAAGCAGGTGTGTTCGTAAGGTTCAAAAAACTCCATGACTTTTCTACGGACTTGTCTGGGTTATATTTTTAAGCCATCCTCAAGCCTACAATTTTATGTGCTCACGATTCTTTTAGTTGACCATTTTGATATACAGTTTATATCACCGCGACCAGTCGGGTGGCAGTCAGCGGTTCCCATCTACAGCCTTCCCACCAGTGCCGATTCCCTCCTACACCGATTATTGCTCGATAACGAGCAAGGCAGCCGGATGCGAGCTCGTGCCGCGCTGCGCTCGCCGCCCCCGACAAATTGCAGTGTCACAAACTACAGGAGGGGGGGGGGGGAGGGGAAAGACACTTTGGCCGAGTCAGATATCAGCAAGGTTTACGCAGCCAGAGAGAAGACGTGGATACAGATACCAGGGCGGAAGATACCCACGATGTTTCTCGATAAGCACAGGAGACTTTCGCCCATCACTTCATGTACACCAAAATATGAAGTCATTCTTCCAATGCGAGTCGGACTAAGAGAAGGGCGTTTTGGATTTCACGTCGCCTCTAAACAATTTGCAGAATTTTTAATTGGAGTCACGCAATGAACACTGGGGACAAGTACTCTTATATGAGGACCTCCAACATCGAGCAGCGTTCGCTATGCGCCAGCACATTCGTCTTCACCGAGAACGCCAAAGGCGCCGAGTTTGTGCCGTGTTTCGGACCGGAAAGTTAATGTAGTGTCAAGACCAAATATTTTCTGTCGTGGACCAGCGACCTGAAAGTTGAACGCTGACGTTACATGACCAAACTTCGTGGGGAATATCCTACATTAATCTGATCACCCTGTACTTCTTGAAAACTTCGCTACTGCCTACCAGGATTGGGTGCCTCAACACGGAATCGACAAGGCGCGGTTGAAAAAAAACCTTTCCATACTCCCGGAAGGCGTTTAGCACCTAAGAGACAGGTTTTGCCAAGTGTGTGTCAACCTGAACCCTAAAACCCCTCCCCAATTATCCAGTTCGGGCGAAAGCTCAACAGGGGTGGTCTACAGTGGCGGAGAAATCAACGATCTCGCTGAATTCAGGTGTCGAATCACGTCGCGTAGCAGAATCTCTCGATGGCACTCGTCCAGGTACTGTGGCGGAGTATCGTGAGCGAATATGTTGCCTGTTGAATTACTGCTGGCGGACATGTCCCCAATCAGAATTCAAAAGTGTACTCTATAGGCCTTAAAAAGTCAAGAGAAAATAAGCGTTTTTTTCGGACTCCCTGTATATTTGTAGTGTTCTCCCCTACCATATACGTGCTCCCTGCAAACAACATTCGCGTATTCCAGACTCCGGCGATACTGCATTCTTAGGCTGTTCTTTACTGTCTGCCCCTCTAGCTACTACACCCCTCCCCCTCCAAGCTCAACGGTTTAATACGACCCCCTCCCCCATCCCCATTTTGGGGAATCTCCTGAGATGGTGGCCCTGTTCAATGGATTACAAGTTGGATATGACCGTGCTGCATATTATAATGTGGTGTGATTATAATGTTTATAAGAAAAGGGAAATACAGATGGTGATGAAGCCGCATTCTAACGTTTTGCAAGTGCTTGTAAGATGTGAAAGGAGTACTTACCATGCTAACTCAGATCCTGACCCGGACTTCGGATGCATTCAATTTCGAGCTAATTTGTGTCTTCGTCTTCAAATTTTTAATTTCTGCATAGCTAATCTAATACATTCATAGTCTTTAGGTCCTGACCCAGACGATCTTCTCGATGAAGGTTACACAGATGGAAATGGTGAGTTTGAGCTTCAGGGCGGCACCATGGAGCTCACACCGATTGACCCCATTTTCAAGGTATACCACGACTGCGACGACGGCATCAAGGTCAACTACAGTTTTGAACTCTGAGAAAAGATTTACTATTGTAAATTTCTTTCATGAAATACATTTAAGCCTGGCTCAAGAAAAGTCAAATTTGCTCTACCGAAGTCCTACATTACTAATGGAATGACACCCAAGAAAACATTTGACATGGGTGAGTACACTTCATTTCTTTGGAGGAGCCCTTCGCAATGAATCTCATCGAGAAATGTTTAGGAATACTGAACCTGGAAACAATTTTTGCCAAGGAAGAACGAGAGATGATTGTAACAAGAAGGAGGAGAGGACGGGTTTATGATGAGGACGATAGAAGCAGCAGCGATGAATCCATATAAGATCGCTAAATCTTAAGAAGACTATAGAAGAAAGTTTCAGATTTCCACACCAATTCATACTTCAGTGTATCGTATAGAATGAACTATTGCTCATTTTCTATTACCTCATAAAATTAGGCGCTGATTTGTGATGTACTTCTTAGTATTATACTTGTCGATGAACCTGAAGTTTTATAACAAGTAAAGCTCCGAAAATATTTGTTCCCAAAAATTAGAAGAATAAACTGTCCGAAAGATTCTGAAAAGGGATCAGGAATGAAGCAAAAAGGTTTTTGAATCCCTTTTTTAATTTCGAGTATTTCGATGTGATACGTAAAGATTTTCACACGGCGTTTTTTGGGAACAATATTT